CCTATAACCTCTTGTTCTTGAAGATGCAGGTTAAAAAAAAAAATCTATATTGTTGATTCCTGTTAGTATTTTGAATGTACATAGTAATAATATTGTCTCTGTTCCTTCTATCTTTGCTTTTGCATATTTAACACCTCTAGGCTCTCTTTGTAGCTCTTATGTTTCCATTCCAAAAGCCATTTATTATCAGCATGTCTTTGTACCTTTTCCGGTTTATTGGTGCAATTCTTGATATATGGGCACAATATAACCACTGCATGATCCAACTTTGGTCTTAGAAAAGTCATGAGCATTTTCTTTTGTGTTTGACCATCAATGTACTTTAAAGCGATTCTGAAGTTGGAAAACATATCATAGGCTACTCCCACAATGTCCTTTATGTGGTCCTCTAGTGACAGTTTACTATCCAGAACCACCCCCCTAGATATCTTTTTTGTCATTGTTCTTTAATTCCTTTCCATATACAGTAATTTGAAGGTTGTGTATGGCCTATTTTCTCCTATTCACCATTCCATAGCATAGCCTTTATTTATGTTGAATTCTATCTACCATGTGTTGCTCCATTCAATTACTTTGAACAGATTATATTAAAGCTTAGCAATAGCAGGGTCTCAGTAATACAGTTGGGTTTATTTTCAACTCACAACCGGAAATCCCAGGTTCGAATCCCAAGTGAGACAAAAATGGTTAGGCACATTTCCTTTCCCCTAATGCACCTGATCACCTAGCCGTAAATAGTCTCCCGGGAGTTAGTCAACTGTTCTGGAATTGCATCCTGGGGAGGGTTAGTAGTTCAACATTTTTGGGATCTTAAAATAAGCCTTATGTATATCATATATAGGCTGCCTGTCCATGACAAAATGAATGAATTAAATAATTAATTATAACTTTGTATCCCTAATGGTGGATCATCTAAATAGAAAATGAACATTATTGGTACTAGTACTGAAGTATCTTACCAACTACCAATCTTTTCGTACACTGCTAGTAATATTTCTCCAGTCTGATACATTGCCTATGATAATCACCCTCATTTTTCTGTCGAAAAGATTCTCATCCATGTCACTCCTCCAGCATGTTTGAATGAATGTTCATATATTCCTTATATTCTATAAGTGAATGTTCTTATATTCCTTTGACAGCTTTGTTTAGTTAGCTTAAAATTCTGATCTATTGTTTCTGAAGTTCTAAGTTCTAGGTCTCAGGAACTCTTCCCTATCAACTTTGTTGATAACCGTTACTATTTTGTGCGCAGTGATCATATCGCCTCTTTTTCTTTATCTTCTAGTTATGGCATATTTAATGCCTCTAACATCTCCTCGAATCTCTTGTCTTTCAGTTCTGGAAGCCATTCAGTTGCATGTATTGCACTTTTTCCAGTTTGTTGATGTGCTTCTTAAGAAATGGGCACCGTACAACCACTGTATATTCCAGTTTTGGTCTAACAAAGGTCGTGAACAATTTTAGTATTTCATCATCCATGTAATTAAAAGCAATTCTGAAATTGAAAAGCGTAGCATAAGTTCCTCGCACAACATTTTTATATTGATCTCAGGTGACAGGTTTCAATTTAAAACCACCCCAAGATCCCTTTATTTATCAAAATTTTATAAAACATTTTTCACGCACAGTAGTTTGTAGATTGTATGAGGTTTATTTTCTTCTATTCCATATTCCATAACATGGCATTTATTCATATTAGATTTCATTTGCCAAGTGGTGCTTCATACACTTATGTCAAACTCCATACACTTGTCATTGGGCATGACAATCATCTAAGTTTCTTATCATCCCTAGTATCTTAACATCATCAGCAAACATGTTCATATAATTCTGCATTCCTTCCAATAGGTCGTTTATATAGACAATGAACATTACTAGTACAAGAACTGAGTCCTGTGATACTCCACTCCTGACATTTCTTCAGTCTGATTACATTGCCTCTGATTATATGTTAGAAGTCTCCCTGTCACTCCTCCAATATGTTCCAGTTTCCAGAACAACCTCTTATGTAAAATTATTATTGCAAGGTTAGTTAACACTGGGGCAAACTAATAGTTCCATGGTTTCTATCTTCTTTTTCATTGATAAAATATGTAGTGTGTTTTGCTTTGTCAGTACTTTTTGTGCAGTTACAAAAGATTTTAGGTTGATCTGATTTTTAGGTTTTAAGGGAGCCGGTCGGCCGAGTGGACAGCACGCTGGACTTGTGATCCTGTGGTCCCGGGTTCGATCCCGGGCGCCGGCGAGAAACAATGGGCAGAGTTTCTTTCACCCTATGTCCCTGTTACCTAGCAGTAAAATAGGTACCTGGGTGTTAGTCAGCTGTCACGGGCTGCTTCCTGGGGGTGGAGGCCTGGTTGAGGACCCGGCCGCGGGGACACTAAAGCCCCGAAATCATCTCAAGATAACCTCAAGATAGATCTCGGATACCCATGCTTGCACCAAATTGTGTTCCTGATGCTCAATCTGGAGTAACTCCAGGGTGGCATAACTCTAGTTGCCTGGTAGTTCTGTAGACTTTTCTGTGGTACCATACTTTACAAGAATGTAAATTCAACTTAATTTCTATGTTCTCTGTTAACCCCCAATGTACCTTCTTGTATATAAATAAATAAATAAAATAAAAATAAAATACTTTGGACTTACCAGAGCCAATACTGTACACTGGGGAGCTACTGAGGGCCAGCCCAGAAAGACTAGTGAAATGGTGAATTGCAATGAAAAGATTACAAAAATAATTTAATTTAGAATTTAAAGAGTATTTTCCCACAAAGGTACAATGAGGAATTATACCAAATTAAAATAAAGAATTAATGAATACTGTACTGAAATTTTTTAAATTAATATTTGGATTATTAATGAAAAACGAGGCATTAATAAAGTTGAGAAAATTACTGGTCTAGAATAAATTAACAGCGGTAACAAGGATTTAAATAAAGACAAAATAAGAAGGTTGTGGCAAAAGAAAATAAGAAATGAATGCCAATATAGATAGTGTAGTCAGCTAAAATGTAAGTGTCAATAACAAAAAATAAATGTGACAAGTCACTGATGATTACAGTGGTACCTCGGAATACGAGTGTCCCTGAAAATACGAGTGTTTCGGAATAAGAGCAGGATTTGCTCGGAAAATGTGCCTCGGAAGGCGAGGGTTACCTCGGAACACGAGTTTGTTGATACGCGTACAGGCCGAACTAGCGCGTGGTGGTACGGCGATCGTCGCCCCTCACCCCTCAGTTTACCAGTGCCTCGCGCCCAGTGACTATCCCACGTCAATTCTTCACCCGGATTTTCAGTGTTTTGTTGGATTTTTGGTCATTTGATCATAAAAGTTGTTATTATATATCTCACCATGGGTCACAAGAAAGCCAGTGGTAAGCATCAAGGCAAGAAAGCCCATGTGAGGATGACAATAGAGGAGAAACAAGAGATTATTCGGAAGCATGAAAATGGTACAAGGGTTGTTGAACTGTGGGAAGAACTGTAGAAAGAGATGCAAACTTTTATTGAAAAGACTCACCCAGAGAAACCTGTAGTAGGCCGTTGCCCTAATCTTTTCAATGACAATGTGATGCCTTACTACAGAGACAGCTTACGAAGAAAGGAAAAACAAGCGTCCACGGACAGATTTGTTGTGAGAAAATCGAGCAGTGAGCCACAACCAGAACCTAGTGTTATGCAGGCAAAACGTGCCAGGGAGTGCACACCAGAAAGGTCCTCACTGCCTGATGTTATAATGGAAGGGGACTCCCCTTCCAAACAGTAACACCTCTCCTCCTCCCCCCTCCTCACCATCTTCCATACGCCTACAGCATTCATCAACAAGGGTAAGTAATAACTTGAACATAGTTTTGTAGGTTTATTTAGATGAATTAGGTATAAAATTTAGTTTGAAGTGAGGTTTTTGGGGTAGTCAGGAACGGATTAATTCATTTCCCATTATTTCTTATGGGGAAATTAGCTTCAGAATACGAGTTTTCGGAATACGAGCTGTCTCCAGGAACGGATTAAACTCTTAAACCGAGGTACCACTGTACTGGAAATAATAAACTATTGCCTCAATATATACAAATTAGAATGTAGATGGAAGAAATCAGGAAAATGCAACAATGAACAATGATAGATAAAAATGGACCTTGCAGTCTAAGTGTAATGAAAGGGAGCTGCTAATATAGATTCCAGCTACAAAGATAATGATAATGGTGAAATATATATTGATGATCTACATCATATTAAACAAGAAAATTAATAAATGCTAAGAGGTACTGATGGAAAGTAAATTATTAAGTAAATTAAAAATGTAGTTTAAAATAAACTTAAAAAACTATAAAGATTTCAAATTTGTCTAGCGACGAACAGCTGAGAAAAATATATTTAAATGCTCTTACAAGAAATCAACACCCTAGAATGATAAGATGTTGGAAAGAGGATAGAGATGTTATGGTAGTAACAGAGATGAAATGACACAACAAAATGCACAAAAAAATAAAATGGTCACAAACAAGTATTGTTGCATGTCTGAGTAATCACAAATGTGTAAGGGATAAAACAGCTGCTGGTTTTAACAGCTTGAAGATAAAAGTATCAGTCCACAAAGTGCAATGGACCACATTTTCATAACAGTGGACAGGGATAACATATGCCAGTGATATTATCATGTAGTTAGGATTCCAAACTTTGAGAAATTAAAAAAAAATATGTTAAGACAATAAATTGTGGAAAATAATATTGTAGATTTGAAAAGAAAATCAATCAACGCGGTAGCAGAAACAGTGCAAAATGAAAAAGAAATTAATAGTAAATAAAACTTTGATGAGGAACACAAGGACGCCACACCATGCGAGCGTGCTAGCGACTGAGCCTTAAAGGTGGAAAGTATAAACAGGCCCACGCTCTTCACCAGCAAACACTCTGACTCTGATTAAAGAGGATGGAGAGTTGTGGCCAGAACGTGAGCCTGGGCGTTCACCTGTTCAGTTCTCTGGCCTCATACATACAGTTACGCATAGAGAAGAGGGGCAAGAAGAGCAGAAGGGAAGTTGGGGAGGCCACCGACATGGCTCCACGGTTGCTCGTTCCCGGCAGTACTAAACGGCGCCCGTCTGAAGATAGGGGGCGAATGCGGTTAACATCATACCGCTTTCTTTGGTAAGGGATAATAATACGAATCCCATTTTCTAAGGTGTTACTGATTTTTTTTTACTGAGTTTTCTATTACAAGGGAAGTGCTTTAGTTGTAAGGAAAACTATTTGTTCATGTGTAAATTGAAATGTGACAGGGTTTTAAACAGTTTACTTTACATAAGTAGGGATGCATTACACTGTCACAAGGATTATTACTTGGAAAATTATATTATGCGAGAGATTAGATTTTCAACAATCGTATATTTTGTGTGTTAATGCAACACCACTTTAGACTGTAAGATGTAAAGCCTTGTTGATGGTGAATACTTCATCCATCACTTTACAAAACACTTTCCTAAATTAGAAAGCCCCTGAATGAAGGTTTCTTGGTTTGAGTGCCTTACCTTACAAATGGTCTTTCTATAGCCAAACCTCTATACTGTATTCAGTTTTCTTCTATTACAATAACTTTTTGTCAATCTGTGTGTATGTGAATGAATGTGAAATTATTTTAAACATCCAGATGTATGTGATAAGTGCTAAGCTGGTGATATTCTCTCTTCCTTATACTGTATTGTTATATACAATTTTAAAAGAGCCAATTGTGCATGTAATTGCCAATTGTGCATGTAATTACCTATCGGTAAGTGCAATTATCTAAGTGAAGTTACGGGATGAAAACTACATTCATGGTGTCCAGTCTTCCCAGTACTTTGTACATTGCATTTTGATGTATAAATCCCCAATGGCCAAAATAAGTTCTACTATAAATCATAATGGCTTGCAAAACTGACAGGATGTCGCATGTTGTATTCGTGGATCCATAGTTAGGTTCGCATCAAGTAATTTAGTACAGCATTTTAATGACACCTCAAGAGAATGAGCTGCATTCTCATATGACAGTACTTGAATAGTTGTGCTTGCAGGGGTTGAGCTTCGGCTCTTTGGTCATGCCTCTCAACTGTCAATCAAATGGTGTATAGATTCCCGATCCTAATGGGGTCAATCATATCTACATTAGAAACTGTGTGTAAAGTCTGCCTCCACCACATCACTGCCTAACTGCCGACCCTAATGGGGGTCAATCATATCTATATTCAAAACTGTGTGTAAAGTCTGCCTCCACCACATCACTGCCTAATGCATTCCATTTATTAACTACCCTGACACTGAATAATTGTTTCTAAAGAATTGGTGTGTAATTACCTAAGTGAAGCTACAGGATATGAGCTATGCTCGCGGTGTCCCGTCTTCCCAGTACTCTTTGTCATATAACGCTTTGAAAATACTGATGGTTTTGGCCTCCACCACCTTCTCACTTAGCTTGTTCCAACCATCTACCACTCTGTTTGCAAATGAAAACTTTCTAATATTTTTTGCACCTTTGTTTCCTTAGCCTGAATCTGTGTCCTCTTCTTCTTGAAGTTGCTGGTTTCAGGAATTTCTCTTTGTTAATTTGGTCGATTCCTGTTATTATTTTGAAATGAGGTGATGTGGTGGTCATTTCACCTCATTTTCTTCTATCTTCTAATTTTGGTATATTTAATGCCTCTAGCCTTTCCTCGTAACTCTTGTTTTTCAGTTCTGTTACATGCCTTTGCATCTTTATCAGTTTATTGATGTGCTTCTTGAGATATGGGCACCATACAACTGCTGCATATTCTAATTTTGGTCTCACAAAAGTAATGAACAGTTTCTTTAGTATTTCACCCAGAAAATACATATTTATTTATATTTTTACAGTTTTACTCACAGTTCTTACATTTTTACTCACAAATGAATAATTTAAAAAAAAATTGTGGATTTATTAATTTTTTCCACAATGGCAGGAATGGCCACTTTTTAAATAGCAGCACAATAAGTGTTAAGGCTATCTTCACGGAAAAGTGTCTGATCTGTTGGTGTGTCTAATCTCAGAGACAGAAGTATGTCAACTTCTCGTGGATTGGCAATCATTATTTTGTTTACCTTTAGATGTTCTTTCACCAGCACAGCAACGACACCAATTTCCTAACATTCCTTAGTACTTCTTCCATCTGTTTAGCACCGTTGAGGGTGATCCTTAAAGGTCGATCTTTCCCTTTCTCATACCTGCCAATTCTCCTGTAGTCGCAGACATTCTCTTTGGTTGCAAGGTCTTCCATGAGCCAAAAAATTTTACCTACTACTTTTACTTCTTCTACGGCTCTTTCTGACCTAGATGTTATCTCCTTTTCTTTGCAACCAAAAATTAATAGGGATTTACTTTGATTGAATGTGTTTTGGGTCGACTTCGATCGACCAATTTAGGATTTGGTGCCAATTCCTGTCTAACTTCGAGCCTAATGTTTGTTTTATCCTTATTTTATCCAGTTTTTGGCTTCCTTTACTGCTTCTTTTATTTTTTTCCTTCTCCCTGGTCACTTGTGCATAGGTGAGTTGTATATCCTTCTTGCACTGCTCTATTCCCTGTGTGTAACTTCCTCTTTGTGTACTGACAAAAGCTGTTTTTCCTGTTGGATTTCCTTACCTAACCTATTGTATTCATTTATATTTAGACAGTTCATGTTTAGCTAAGAAAGCACATCTGAGATGGTAGCCTTAAATAAAATTATACTTCAACAATATAAAGTATGAAATGGTTGTGAATATGTATTTGAAACCCAATACTGTAGGCCTATAGACTATGCATGACTATGAAACTTGTGGAGTCTTTCAGACATACATGTGTACAGTATGTGTAAATATTTTGCATTTAAATGCCCTAGATCTCTGAATAGATATGTACAAAAATTAGATCTTAATGTACTTTTAGCAATAGCCATAATCTATCCCCATAGCATTTGCAACTCCCCACAGATATATTAATTTCTACATCTGCTGTCTTGGTGACATAACATTCTGAGGATATTTACAAAGTTTGTTGAATGTAAAATAGTTCTTTCCCCAAATCTATGTTCATTTGTTTTTAAATTGTGCATAAAATATTACAATGATTATGTCTTTATTTTGGATGCCTAGCCTCCTTAATCACAACAGACTGTTATTCAAGCATAAAAACAACAACTAAACCACATATGCTAAAGATTTCCTTAATATTATTTATTTTAATAAAAACTGAAATTCTTTCTTTAATATTTGAGCTACAAAATTATTTTAAACCCAGTAGCCATATTTTTATCTCTTGGGAATATTTAAATGTATAGTTTTGACAGTTATTAGTTATACACAAGGTCACATTTCAAATTAAATCAAAATTTCAATGACTGGTCAACAATGTGAAGCTTATCAGGTAAAAATGCACATTGTCACATAATTTCTTTGGTTTATTCTGCATTTTTTTCATGGGCGAAAATTGACATACCTCTAAAACATCCTCGTGTGATCGTTTTCTAATCAAACTGAAACTGAATCTATGAGACTTGGCTATAAAAGTACCATTTGTGGGTGAACAGGAGGAAGTATGAGGCCAAAAAATGTGAGCGTCTACTTAAAAAAAAATAAAAGGCAAATTGGTTATGCATACATCCATAAATGTATTATACACAAGAGCTTTTTTGGCACTTTATCTGAAGGGTCACTTATTTATCCTTGAACCTGTGTATGGGGGAAAGGGGATGGGGGGGTACATACTCACAGTGGCTACAGATAATACATAAAAAGTTGGGCAATAGAAGATACAATTTAAGAGTAGCAAGGAAAAGACTATTGTTCCACAGAACTTTTTAAGGCAATTTTTTTCTTTTTCGAACAGAGTACTTTTGGACATCAAGGATCATATTAACTTTTAACAGAAACAGATATAATTTACTGAATGTAAATAAACAATACATGAAAACATTCAAATTTTTTAGAATTCCTCTCCTATTAAGTCTCAGCTTTAGATCCTAGCTGATCCAAAGGTACTTTGATAATGCTCTCTGGAAAATGAACACCGTTTAGAACAATTACATTAACATGCCCGCATCACGCAAACTGGCCTGTGTGAAAGGGAGGGGAGGGGGTTGGGGATGGTGCATAATTTACACTAGATTCATGGAAGAGTGCTTTTATAAGTGGTGGAGTAGCAACTCTGATCCTTAGCACAAGTGACAGCAAGGGATATTATTCCTCTCTGCAAGACTGGAAAATTAAGCCTTACTGCTGCATGCTGTCAATATAACTAATTATGAATACATCTAAAGAGGCATGGTCATCATAGCTTAATTCCTGTCCTCAAAAGCTTGTATCATTATCTCTCATGTATAATACACAAGGCAATATGATCATCAACCAGTTAAGGTAATAGTATTATACGGACTATAACGAACCAAACCTCAAGTAACAATGTTTCATAATTGGTTTGGCATACTGATTCACTTCTGCCATTCATGCCACATGATAATCAGAATTATATTAGCCTACAGGACATAACCTCTACGGTTGAAATATGCAATATGATTTTTGCCAATCTTCTAGCTTCTACGCTGTATAATTCTCAGTCTTACACATGCATACATCACATATACAGCATGGCAGGGCCTGTGATGAAGTAAAAGCTCATTTCTACCAGATTATTGATAATAAAATAGCCAATCTCACTCACAGAGCACTGATTACTTGTAAAGTAAAATGCACCACTGCCAAAAAAGAATGCATTGCTCACAAAATAAAATGCATCACTATAACAAACAGACACACCTAAGTTGGAATTTATATGAATGCCTTTCCCTAGGGTTAATTCATACCTTCATCTCATCCACAATGTTTTATTGTCAATATTAATATTTAATCATTATATAGGTTAGTAACTGATACATGCTGTAATTATTAGGGGAAGATCATTGTATTATTTATTCACTAACATCATTAATCCAAAACATAAATTATCTTTGTTTAAGACAATTAATTAGTAATATGAATGATCAACTATTATGTAGACGAGATACATTATTTGTTTAATACAGTACTGTATTACACAAAATATATATCTCATTTGAAATTTTGTCTACATAATAGTTTATCATATTTTCACTACAGAATTACTCCAGCCATTTGTCTGCAATCTTCAATTAGTTTTACCTGCTGTAAAACAAGATGGATTAGGATATTCTTCCTTTGCATTTATGTACGGTTGCTAAGGTGGAAAGATAATATCTTAAAAAATTATCTATACAGAAAGTTAATTAGGGCTCCAATGAATACCTACAAACAAGCTGTAACTATAGTCATTACTACACTCATACAATAAACATTGTAGAGAAACACCAAGATAAAAGTTTAACTTTTTTGTAGATACAATTTTGCTTATAAAGAATTTATCAAATTTTACAGCCAAAAAGTTGTCTACAAATAAAGAGTATATTCTCATCTTGTTGTTTCCCTATCTTGTTATCAGCACTCTGTGCTTTCTTTCAACCAAATAAATATGCTACTGTAACTAATGAGCAATACAGAAAGAGAAGCAGTGCTTTTGTCACTGCACTCTAAAATCTACTAAATACAAGAACTTGGATGGAGAGAGAGAGAATAAAAAACCATAAATTATGTTTGCCTACCGTCAGACTCCTTTTTATCATCCTTTTCCTCGAGGTCAAGGTCTTCAGCATGGGTAATCCACTCAAGATACCCCCGAAGATCTTCCTCAATCTGTTGCTTTTCTCTGAGCTTTCTGAAGTCTCCACGGGCTTTAGCTTTCTCTCTTTCCTTTGAGAATTCTCTAGCAGGGAACACACACATGGCTAGGGTTAGTGCTTGCTACAACTATACTAAACTCACGCTTACTGGGCAAGTATCAACAAATATTACCTAAAATGCTAATCACACTATTGTAGGCACAGCAGAGCAAAGCAACACACAGTCACCTTAGGCAACAGTAATGCAGAAACCAGTACAAAAATAAAAATTAACATAATTTTTTAACTCATAATAGTTGTAACCAAAAGCATTAGTGTATACATATGTATACTTAAGGTAAGTCTAATAAAATTCTTGTTCTGCATTTCTGACCAGAAGATACTGGTGGGATGCTGACCAAGGTGAAAGGTGACTATTGCTTTAGGAACAGCAGGAAGGTCCAAGCTCAGCTGAAGTCTGCAGTCTCTGCCTAATTCTCCATCCAGTAAATGCCTTGGGAAAATTATGGGTCCTGTGATATAATGGTAGTGAGCTAACTACTTTTGGATTAGTGAGGGGGATGTTAGCAAGGCACCAGAGGTTCACCGATTCTCTTCCTACCATCTGTTTCCTTCTTGTCATCTCCTTCCATCTCTATATCTTCAGCTGCTGTTATCCATTCCAAATAACCTCTCAAATCCTCCTCAATTTGCTGTTTTTTCCTCAATTTCATGAAGTCTCCTCGTGCCTGTGCCTTTTCTCTCTCTTTGGAGAACTCTCTGTCATGGGGCAAATGACGGATTAACTCAGCTCTCTGCAATAAGTCATCTTATCCTGCTTTTTGTAACTACATTTTCTTGTAGGGATTGAGGATGAACTATGTAAGTACAATGACTGAGTGGAAACATACTGACATGATTTACTGGCACAGACAACACAGTTTCTGACACAGATTTGCAATCTTGTTGAAGAATAAAATAAGTTTGCATAATCACTTTTTGCATTCTGGGTTCAACATGTCATCTATAACCATTAGCAATATTACAACAGATAATGTTGGCAAACATTTCATGAAGGCTATAATCAATATGAGAGTCTAAGGAGCAACAAACTCATGGATTCCTACTTTCATGGATGGCTGCCAAATTAGTCACTGGGATGGGGCCCAAATAGTCTTTCATTTCAAAGGTACACAAAGGTATTTTATAATTTCAGTCTAGTGTTTACCGTTAGTACAAAATTTAAATTTAAATAGTGATCATCTGAATTCCAAGCCAATATTTACATGAGGTCGTGGAAGAAGCTATACTAATACGGCCTGCTTTAGAAACTCCAAGGACAATGAACAGTGCTTCTAACATTCATTCCCTAAAGGCAATTAATGCAAAAAATAGTAGGTTTTTAATTTTACAAACAAATTGTTAACAAATTATATGAAATAGCATATCCTCAAGACATGTATCAACTATTAATCAAATGAGAAAGGTACACATGTATGGCTTTGAGGAATGATGACTGAAAACTTGAATGTTGTATATGTGTTTATGGATGGATATATCAATGTGTGAGGGTTGTGTGGTACACATAAAATGGCAAGGAATATGAAGAGTGGAATTGTGTGATGATTATAAGAACATCTTGAGGTTATCTTGAGATGATTTCGGGGCTTTTTAGTGTCCCCGCGGCCCGGTCCCCGACCAGGCCTCCACCCCCAGAAAGCAGCCTGTGACAGCTAATTAACACCCAGGTACCTATTTTACTGCTAGGTAACAGGGGCATAGGGTGAAAGAAACTCTGCCCATTGTTTCTTGCCGGCGCCTGGGATCGAACCCAGGACCACAGGATCACAAGTCCAGCGTGCTGTCCGCTCGGCCGACTGGCTCCCTAGCCGGTCATAACATGATTAAGAGAAAACAGAGATGTGGTAAAATGTGAAGCATAATCTTTTGTGGATTAGCTAAAGGTTCCTACTTGTATGAATATTAGATTTACACAAGTGAAGCTGGTTCTTATGATTGCATATGTACATTGCTATGACAGGAGCACAGAAAATCAATATTGAAGCGTGAGATAAGAGAAACAGGACTCTATAGAGGAGTATTTAATCATATGGAAGTGCTGAGTAAGCTAGATTGGTTGGAAAGCTAACAACAATGCATAAATTGAAAGAATGTGACCTGAGAAGTGATAACAAATAAGCCATTGAATACAAAAGAAAAGTTGGTAGCAATATTATTATAAATGATCTAAAAATATTCTGAATTGCACGTTGAAAGAAAGTTTGTGGTTTACATGATACAAAGAATCTCTGTTTAAAATATCAGGCACATGTGTTATGATACAAAAATTGGAAGAAGATTGAGTATTATGTGGGGTGAATAAAGTATTATGTAGGGTGAATACTGTATCAAAGAAGTTGATTACACAAAACAAATAAGTGAAGCATGAAGATGGAAAGTGAAAGAGAGAGAAGCAGGGAAATAGAGTATGGGGAAGAGTAAATACAGTACACCAGCATGTATAGACTAGGGGAGCAGAAACAACAGTAGATGAAGAACTTTTAAAGACAATTGTACAATAAATTTTAAACTATAAAGCTCTTTTAGAAAGTACTGTAGAACAGTGGTGAAGTAATGCAAAAAGGCAATGTGAACGGATGATTATTCTCAATTCTCAAGAAGAATTGAAGAATACAAAGATGAAATATGACATGGGTGTGTGCTATCAGGCAGGGAATTTAGGTTTCGATGACCAAGGGGTTTAGTAAGGATGGGTGGGGGGGGGAAGAAAGAATAAGGATGAAAAATCAGGAAAAAGTATGAGGATGAAGTCTGAATTGGATGAAGTGTATTGCTGTCCACCTTGGCTTGGTAGTCTTTTGTGTTACTGTGAAGTAAAGGGTGTGTGTGTGTTGGTGATTTGTTGGTATGGCAGCTGGGCTGGCCAGTGGAGGCAGGCTACGATGGCTAGCAAGTAGGGAAACATATGCTATGGCACCATACAAATTTTTTTAAGGATGCCCCCAGGGTCATTATGTGCCTAGGGAATCACCAGGTAAGTTACTCTATCAAGGCCAATAATAGCTGTCAATAGTCAGTCCATACGAATAAAAACCATTTCAAGGAATCGCTTTACATCACAAACTGCAGGAAATTAAGAAAAATTATGAATTTCAGTCAGAAATTCTGTGGGACACAGAAATCTTAAAGTAGCAATTATACGACAATCATATAAGACATAAGGGATTTCCTCAACCAGATATGTTTATAAGTTTGTCCTTTCCAAAGAGAAGACAATGAAAAGAATAAGATCAACCCATGGGTTGCCTAGAAATGTAAAGAAGCAATCCACGTACGTATGAGGATGGAGGAACTACGGGAAAACACAGAGAGAGAGAGAGAGAGAGAGAGAGAGAGAGAGAGAGAGAGAGAGAGAGAGAAAGAGAGAGAGAGAGTGGAAGAAGAGAGAGAGGAGGGAGAGAGCGAGAGGAAGGAGAGAGAGAGATAGAGAGAGAGAGAGAGAGAGAGAGAGAGAGAGAGAGAGAGAGAGAGAGAGAGAGAGAGAGAGAGAGAGAGAGAGAGAGAGAAGAGAGAGAGAGAGGAGAGAGAGAGAGAGAGGAGAGAGAGAGAGAGAGAGAGAGAGAGAGAGAGAGAGAGAGAGAGAGAGAGAGAGAGAGAGAGAGTGAGAGAAGAAGAGAGAGGAGGGAGAGAGAGGAGAGGAGAGACTGAGTGAGAGAGAGAGAGAGAGAGAGAGAGAGAGAGAGAGAGAGAGAGAGAGAGAGAGAGAGAGAGAGAGAGAGAGAGAGAGAGAGAGAGAGAGAGAGAGAGAGAAGAAACAGAATTTACAACATAAATTCGAAATTTACTATGTAAATACGTGAAGTAAAGCAGAAAGAATTTGAAATCTATATAGCCAATAAAGCATGGAACTAACCCAAGTTGCTTCAAAGCCACTACCGGAAAAAATCAACAGTAAAAAAAAGCAGGTGATGAAACTGAGAATGGGTTAAGACATGTTTACAAAGAATGACTGGGAAGTATACTGCAAATAATAGAGGATTGTAGTAGATATCTGCAATAGAGAAAGATCAGACAAGACAGAAGCATGGGCAGACAGCACATTTCTGTGGGGAGCCCCTATGGCTCCCTGCAGCTTAGCAGGCTAATGTACTGTATGTTATATTAGACCGGGATATTAGCTATGGAGTTCAGACCTACCAGGGACTAGCGCCAGAACCTGGCCCCTTCAGAGAGGTTTCAGGGAGCAACGGCTCTGGAAAACCCCCGTGGTTAGGGGTTTTCCTTATCTGCCATCGACTGGGGTTAGGCACCCAGAAAGGTAGGCATTAAACAAACCCCACATGGTAAGAAACTAAAACAAAAAAACGAACAGAGATCGAAACTCCCCACAATCCCAAATCAAACAAGCAAACATCACACTTTACTGCAGTGCCGCTCGTCCACACAGCCCTTCCCTAACCAAAAGGAGGAGTGGGGTCCCGGACCGCAATGCGCCGGCTGCCTAGAAACAGTTCGTAAGCTAATGTCAACAGACGCTTCTCTGGCCTCAGTTTCCTAGGCCGTGTTTGCCTTCGTGGCGCTCATTGCTGTGTGTAACAACTCTTTTTTGTGTCTGCCTCAGTTTCCTAGGCGGTGTTTGCCTTCGTGGCTCAGGTGTAAGGTGGCCAGGTGTTCCTCATCAGTACCGGGACTGCATGCGCTTAGGGGCTTCATTCCCTAAGTGCCCTGTGAGTACTGCCCATGCATGACAGGGGTTCGGGAACCATTCCCGGAGAGGTTCTTGCTGCTCAGCATTTGCCTCGCCCTTGGGGCCAGCTGGGGCTTGGGGCCCTTGTTTGGCCTTGGGTAGGGACTGGTATTGTGCTGATTAGGGCGTCAAGGTGTTGCGCGACCTGCTACCTCCGCGGCGACCGGTTCCTGTAGCCTCTGCACACAGTGTACTTATGGGGATTTTTGTTTTTGTTTTTATTTTCATTTGCCTGGTGGGGGGTCTGCCTAGTGTGGCTATAGTTTCAATGGTAGTGTTTGGTGGCCCTCTGCTAAGCCCCCGTAATTGAACACGCCGCAGAGGTTTACAGTGTTGCATCTACCCCTTGTTATCACTTTCGTTCCATAGGGACGGAGGTGACGTCCACAAATAACTCTGCGGATGTTCCTTCGGGACGTAGGTGAAGTTCAAAATTAAAATATTTGTTAAAAATTAATTTTTTATCTGATCATTATGGGATTAGTTTTAAAATGCAGGCATTTGCCACTAAATGCCACTAAAAGGCATCCTTTTAGTGGATGTGGACAAGGTGGACACCACCTTGTCCACATCCCCACGGCCAAAGTAAGTGGAATTTGGTATTTATTTTTACATAGACATATTCAGGGGAAGGGAATTTATCATTTTACAAAGAATAAAGAATTTAGGGGGAAAACTTGATGTCAAGCGCATAAGGAGAATTTCATAATAAACTCGGTGCGTCACAGTGGTTAAATGGGAACATTCCTTTTGAAACATGAGCATTTCACCTGATGAGCATGGCACCAGGATGGATTAACTTCGTTATTCGAGGTACCACTGTATTGGTTTGTAGGTCTTAGAACAGGGGTGAACATTACAAGACTTAAAATATTTCTCTAAACACTTGGACGGAGGTCATGTATTGCAGCAAAAGGCTGAAATTCCTTGATTTGTCCTGTATCACATTTTGCAGTCAAAGGGTTAAAGATGTTAAATAGCCATCATGTACTCTCAATTAAAACTATTCATTCATTACAAAGATTCAGAGGGAATACAATCATGACATACAAGATACTCTGAAGAATGAACACGCTGGACAATCACGAACTGCTGGAAGGAGTCAGACCAGGACAAGCGATACAAATGGACACTTAAATGAACCAAATATAGGTATGCTTTGTATGAGAAAATAAGTAGTAATGTTTAAATGTATTTTTGAACTGAATATGATTAACAAATAATTATGCAAAGTGATAAATTTTAGTCAATTTGCCTACCAAGACATTAAATATAAAAAGGAAAATATATACAGAATATCAAGAATACCACATAATATTACATGAAATTATTACAAACTAATTATAAATTAAACATTGCTTAGATATTATTATTACAATTTAACTCGATATCATTTCCCTCTTCACAGCCTCTATTTCTTCTAATACTGTTTTCCTCTATGTAATTACCTGAAACTGATCTCAAAACATCCTAAGGCTTTAACCTAACCCAATCTTCAATTTTAACATTATTCCTTAGACCTACCCATGAACTTTCATCTTTTTAACACAAACTGACTCCCACTTGTCTTCATTTTGAATTTAAACTTTCCATTAGAATGATCTCCCTCAACATTATCTTATGCTCTACGGTGCTGTGTTATAAATTTTGACTTATCCTTTCAATACCCATATTAGCTTAGTGTAACAAAAAACAGTTTAAAACTCACCCACTAAGGACACCAAGAATCAGATTCATGACGAAGAAGGCACCCAGAATAATCATAGAAACAAAGAAGATCCACTGCCAACTGTTGCCCATGGCATCTGCAATCTGAAGAATATTGTTATTAACTACTTTTCTGTGGGGAGCCCCTTTGGGTCCCTGGAGCTATCAGGCTAATATAAAAATCATTAGACCGGGGCTGTAATCTATTGAGTTCTGCCTTCCGGGGACCACAAGCCAGAACATGGTCCCCTCGGACAGGCACAGGGACCAAGGGCCTTGGAAAACCTCCCCTGTGGTTGGGGGTTAACCTTATCTGCCATCAACGGGGTTAGGTACCCAGAAAGATAGGCATAACAAAACAGACCCCACATGGTAAAAAAAATTACAACCAAAAGCCGAACAGAGGTAGAACTCCCTCAGTTCCCAAGGAAACAATTAAACGTCACCCCCAGGATGTCGCATCGCTTTTCTGCGCAGCACCCCCCACCCCCCGGGTGGGGAAGGGGGGGTACCCCCAGACCCACAGCGCCGACTACTCAACCCTAGTTCATCAGCTTATGCAAACCGGGGCGGACGTCTTCTCTGGCCTCACTTTCCAAGCAGTGCTTGCCTTCATGGTGTCCTCTGCGGTGTCGTTGTGTGTGGTGGCCAGGTGTCCTCAAAGAGTACCTGAACTACATGCGCCTAGGGGCCTCCTTCCCTAAGCGCCCTGTGAGTACTTCCCTTGCGTGTTAGGGTTCTCTTCCCTGGTGCGTTCGGGAACCTATTCTGTAGGTGTTTTTGCTGCTCGGCATTTACCCCCCACCCTTGGGGCCAGCTGGGGTTTTGTAGACCTTGATTAGCCTTGGAAAGGGATTGATATCATGCTGGTTGGGGCATCAAAGTGTTGTGCGGCCTGCCTACCGATTCCTTTTTCCTCTGGGGACGTTGTACTTTTGCGTTTTTTTTTTTTTTTTACCTGGGGGGGGGTCTGCCTGGTGTGGTTATAGTTCCACTTATAATATATTAATGGCCCTCTGCAAGGCCTCTGTGATTGAACACATTGCAGGGTTTTCAGAGTTTTGATCTTCCCCTTGTTTGCATTGGATCTTACCCAGTTAGCAACACCTTGCCTGGACTTCCTGTAGCAGTCAGCCTACAAGCCCTGGAAAACCCTGTCGGGGCTCGGTGGACCTATGGAAGCGTCTTCCGTGTTCCAGTTCGCCTCGTGCGGGTTTGAAGGTTGCTGTGTACCCTTGTCTCAGAGGTGACAGTCACCCCCTTTTGCCTGTCATGCTGCCTGTTGGGTCAACGACACCTTTGACCCAAAGTCTTGCAAGTCGTGTTCTCTGCTTGATCTCCAGTAATATTCTGACGACATTACTGTTAGGGTACAGGCAGGATTGTGTTGAATGATAGGTTTAGGTTGCTGCAACGCACTAGGTTGGTTTCCCACCCGGATGCCCTACGGCTGCCCAGCTTTGGTTATAGGGACCCGGACCTGGGGGCGGGTCGTTTCGAATTTGGTTCAGTCCAAACTCCCTGATCCTTTCCCCGTTGTTCATCCTGCACCTTCCCTTCCCCCCGTCCCACTGCTTCTGGCTCCCAAACATCTAAGGGTTTCGGTGTCAGGGCAGGGTCTAGTTGGTAATGAGACTGGGGCAGCTTTGGGGGCTGCCCTGTTCGGGTTAGGGACGGAGGCATTTGAGCCTGTTCCTCCTTCCAAGGCTTCTGGGTCCAAACTGCAGGCCCTCCTCTTTTCAGGCTTTACCCTGGACTCTGCCTTTTCTTCAGTGGTAGAGGATTTGGTTGCCGGCTCGGCACAGGGTCCCGACTTGGGGGATCTTCGAGCTGGGGAGGAGTTGACCTGGGGGCCATGGGACCCCCCTTTGACCCCAGTAGGTGTTAGTGCCCTCTTTGCGGGGCTTGTTGTTGCAGGGAGAGGGTTTTTTTTACCTCCCACCCCCCCTTTCCCTGGATGAGTATGATTTACCGTCGGCTCCTCCCCAGGTTTGGTTCCGGATTCCCTTGGGTTCCTCGGCTCCTTTCTGGAGATTTTCTGCCTCTCGAATCTCACGTAAGGAGGTTCGGGAAGCTCTTGCTGTGTACCTCCTGCGAGACCCGGATTCCGCCTCTATCATGGATTCGTCCTTATTTGAGTTCGGTTCTTCTTCCCCATATTAGGTGCATTTGGAGGTACTGGAGTGTTCCTGGCTGGCAGACTGCCCATTCTTTTTATTGGGGGGGTGGCATGGGTTGTTGGACTCACACGCTTGAGTGGCAAGATACTAATACCTTCCTGCAGGTTTACCTGGGGGGGCGGGTTTGAGCACCTTAATGTGTGCATGATCACCCCAATGCTTTCTCGGGATGTTGGCCTTGTACAGCTGCATGTGCAGGTTCCTACCCTTTTGGCATTATTGGTTGCTGAGGAATTGTGCACCCATGGGCATTTGGCTTTGGTCTTGCACTTTCTTTCCCTTCTTGAGCTGTCTTCGACCTGGCTTGAGGCAGATGTGGAGGCTTTGAATGTCGGACCTTCGTCGGGTGTGCTGGCCTTGGCGGCTTGGGCGTCAGCCATGCTGTTGAAGCAGTTTGTGCCTATCCTGAAGGAGGCAGTGTCTCTGTTCTTTGCTTCTCATTTCACATGCCGTCAGGCTGTGCTCGCCCTCTCCTTGGATCCGCTTGGGCCCTAGCTTTTAGGTCTCATCAACGTTTTGTCCATTGCTGTTTGTGAAGGCTGCTGTTACTCAGTTTCTGCAGGTGGCTTTATCTAGCTGTCGTTCTTTGTCGGACTTGTCAGTTCTCCTAGGTGGCCATTCTCAGCCTTCTCAGAAGGGTCATGCCAGGGCTTGGGGTTCCACTGGTTGAGGTGGGCCATTGATGCCAGCTTCTAAGCCGGCGCTTCCTTTGGAGCCATTGTCTGGTCGGCTCGATGATCACTTTGTTCATCGGTCGGCTTCTCGTAAGGGGCGTCGACCCTTTTGCGGTTCGCCCCGTTGATGGGGCGACAGGGGGAAAGCTCGCTCTGTTTGCTCACACTTGGTCCCACGATTCATGGTAGTTTCAGGTCGTGTCATCCAGACTCTTGGAGGCGTTGGGCGACTCCTTCTCCTTTGGTGGAGGGGGGGGAGGGGGGGATTCAGGGCTGGAGGGGGGAAGGCTTCTTCCCCTGCGCTTCGTCGGGTCATCTTGGGAGTGGGTGCACTTGTGGTCGAAATGACCTCGTCCCTCGAGTGGGTTTCCCACCTGTTTCCAGTGCCGAGACGAGACTGTGCAGACCTACTTGTCCCATCTTGGGGACATCTTGGGGACATGTCCCAGGGGTTTAGATGGACTTGTCCCATCTAAACCCCTGGGTCTTTTGCCCCTCCTTACAGATAACCACTCTATCCCAAGTCTGGCTACTTTTGGAGCCAGGTGCTTGGATGATGTCACTGGACCTCAAGGATGCGTATTAACATGTCCCGATTCATCCGGGGTTCAGGGACTGACTCGGTTTTGTCGTGGGGCAGTAAGTTTACCGTTTTCGTTGCCTTCCATTCGGCTTGAATCTAGCACCTCGCATATTCACACACCTAACCTGGGTCGTGGTAGCCCATTTGCGTCTGTTTGGTGTTCAGTTTCTGGCTTACCTCGAAGACTGGCTGGTCTGGGCTCCCAGCCAGTCCGGGTGTCTGCTCAGCAGGGATTTGGTTCTTTCCCAGCTCTTCGCATCGGCTTGGTTGAGGCGTCTTCCAGTATATGCGGCTCCCTTCCCAGACTGCGAGACCGTTGTTGATGCTTGGTTGGTTCGGCCAAGGGTGCATCATGCATTGTGTCTGATTGCGGCTCTTCACCGTTATTTACACGCCACGGCCTCTGTGGCAGAGGATGCACTTTGGATGGACCCGGTTTCCTCTCTTGCCTGTTCCAGGGTGTGGGTCTCCCACGTTTTACGCAGGATTATTCAGTCCAGCCAGCCTGCAGTTTATTCCCATGCCCACATTTATAAGTTCACAGTTTTGGCTACTGTTTTTGGTAATATGTCTTGGGCTGACATTCAGGCACAGGGCTTTTGGAGGTCAAACAGGGTCCTGGCAACATGGTATCTCATTAATATTTCTGCCCCTTCTCAGATGTTTGTAGCCTTGGGTTGCAGGTTGCAGCCAGTTGTCTCGACTTCAAGTTGAGGAGGGAGTGGCAGCCGCCTCCCGGGTAAGTCCCTCTTTTCCTTTATCTTTACCAAGGTAGCTCCAGAGAACAGAAAGAAAACCAGTGTTGAATGTAATGAAATGTCATTTTCTGGGTTAGATCCAGAGGCTCCCCGGCATCCCTCCCTCCAGTCGGCGTTTTTTTTGTGTTTTTGATATTCAGCCTCTGAAATGGGGTTGGGTAGCCAGTACAAAGGGGGTCTGGGGTTCTCCCTTCCCCGTCAAGGGGAGGGGGGAGTTGCGGAGAAAGCGGTGCGGCTGCTGTGCTGACGTCACGCATGTTTGCTTGTTTTCGATTGGGGAGTCCTGCTTGATAGTTCGGTTTTCGGTTTGCAATTTTTAACCAGCTGTATATTGTTTTGGAATTCCTACCTTTCTGGGTGCCTGACCTGGCAGATGGCAGACAGACTGCTTCCAATTACATATGGTGTCTATTGGCTATTGCTCCTCATGCCTCTCTGAGGGGGGCCAGGTTCCGGCGCTGGTCCCTGACAAGCCTAGAACTCCATCGACTGACTGTTGCCACGGTCTAATATATACACATCAGCCCAGTATAGCTCCGGGGAGCCTCCGGGTCTCACCCAGAAAATGGCATTTCATTACATTCAATACTGGGTTTTATTAAGCATCTAGTTCCAGTTCAGGGAATACATGATCTTCCTCCAAAGAACATCATCCATTAATTTCCATTGCAACTATTCACAACCTTACTATTATAATTAAATTCTTTTGTTGCATATGGCTTCCCAAAAGACCAAGTCCTGTTTGAAAGTTTGTTCACTGCAAAGTATACATAAAACTCCTGTTCCACTTACAGTATAAAAAGATTAGTTTTCAATCACCACCCCTCTTAAGAAAACCACTACTTACATAATACATCATATCTGTCCAGCCTTCCATTGTGATGCACTGGAAAACTGTTAACATTGCGAGGCCAAAATTATCAAAGTTCGTAATGCCATAATTGGGCCCTTCCCAGCCATCTCGGCATACCCAATATTGACCTTCTTTATTGAGTTCTGAGCAGTTAAAACCTGCCGTACCATTGTCACACGGATGTGGTGACTCCATTCGATTCCCTGAAAGCAAAGTTTGCATTAGAAATTGCTTTTCTAAGAACTCATTACAGTGTGAGATGTTCAGATAGAGAGTACAGTATTATAATCTAGTGAAAAAATTCTTTATGGAGTGACACACAGGTCATATAAGAAAAGCTAAAGACAGTACAAGCCTATGACCTCTACCTTGCTTATTTTGTATTTAAATCATCACTTCAGAAAATATTTGTTAAGATTAAAGTATTTTGTAGGATTAGGTGCTACATAGGTTAATGTTTTTAGCAGATGCTCTTTTGATTTATAAGCATTGTAAATAGTATGTCATATGACCTATACCTGGTGACATCACTGTTTTTGTTGTGGAATAAATGCCATGTGGATCACATGTTCGTTTTCCTTCCTGACAAATCTTAATAGAGATGACAAGGATTAACACCTAAGGCAGAGAGCCCAGGTACAAGACAAGGTGTTGAGCAGGAGAAAGAGAGCAGAGTACGTTGTGTGGAGGGGCGGTAGAATTTAGACAACAGTGAGTAATGTTCAACCATGGCCATGACTGCCCCACTCATAGCAATGGAACCGTTTGATGCTACCAAGATCTCGTTGAACATGTGGCTGAGCCTGCTGGAAGCAAACTTCCAGTACCGTGGGATTAAGGAGGACCTGCTTGATGGGGTTCTGGGGGCTCTTCTACTCCCCAAGCCTGGCCCAAGGCCAGGCTTGACTTGTGAGAGTTTAGTCCACCAGGTTGTTGCTTGGAGCGGACCGTAGGCCCACATACCCACCACAGCCCGGTTGGTCCGACACTCCTTGGAGAAAACTATCTAGTTTTCTCTTGAAGATGTCCACGATTGTCCCAGCAATATTTCTTATGCTTGCCGGGAGGATGTTGAACAACTGCGGACCTCTGATGTTTATACAAGGTTCTCCGATTGTGCCTATGGCACCCTTGTTCTTCACTGGTTCTATTCTGCGTTTTCTTTCATATCGTTCACTCCAGCATGTTGTTATTTTACTGCGCAGATTTGGAACCTGGGCCTCTAGTATTTTCCATGTGTATATTATTTGATATTTCTCTCATCATCTTTCTAGTGAGTACACTTGGAGGGCTTTGAGGCAATCCCAATAATTTAGGTGCTTTATCGCGTCTATGTATACCGTATATGTTCAGACGCAAACAAGAAAACAGTACTCTTAGTTTCACTGGATACAGCAGTATATAGTATCTTTGGTAACATGTGCAGGCAAGAGTTACGCCACATGAAGCCCTATGAAGACCTGATTACCCTGCTTAAACATCATTATACAGTAAAACCTTCATATCACAGGAGTTTGATGGATTTCCAGAAGAGCACGAAAAAGCAGCAGGAATCCTTACAGGATTTATATGTGGAATTGAAGGCGTTGGCTAACAACTGCAATTCTGGAACACAGTTTGATTGTCGGGTCAGGGACCAGTTGTCCATGGCAGTAGAAAATTATATATTTTTCCCCTAACCTGGTGGCGGAAAACTTGGATTTACAATCGATGACTTCATGAACAGTGCCAGAAAAGATTTTGAACTTGAAAAGGGCTTTCAGAAGCAAGAAATCTAATACCCAAGAAATTATGGTTGTACAGGGACAGACAAGATGGAAACAATGTAGGTACAATCACAGTAGAGGCAACTGCAAGTTTAAGGACTATCTATGCAACCTTTGTGACAAGAACAGGCACTTGAGGAAAGTATGCAGAGAATACTTAAAAAATAGCAAGGGCTTGGAGAGGATACGACCAGGGTATTTGCAGGAAGAAGAGGTAACTACTGTGGTCAAGGCAGAAGAGGAAGGTAAACCGTCGGAAGAAGCTGCAGGTGAGGAAAGCAGACTATAATTGGTGAAAGAATAGGTATGTTTGGTGAAGTCACAGGTGGTGAATTTTGTAATTAATGGAAATTAATTACAATGTTGTTTTCAACAAAATATGTTTAACCCCCTGGGCTGCTCTTGCAATTATAGACTGCAACATGCCCAGGCGCAAGAAATAAATGAATGGAAAAATATTTTGTCTTATAAAAGTGTTCACATGTGTTCCTTGATCACAGGAAAAATAATAAAAAAATCATAGGTGGCATATTTTTGCCGCAAGAGGGCGGTCTTTGAAAATGTGAGGAGTGATCTTACAAAACGCATCATTAGGCATCATTATTATAGAGAGAGAGAGAAAGAGAGAGAGAGATTTTTTATTCCGGTAAAGGTACATACATTGAAGATGAGTTACAAACAAAAAGTTGGATTTAAAGATAGAGCTAGTACATACAATACCTAAAGCCACTAGTACGCACAGCGTTTCGGACATTATCGTTATATGGCATTTCGGCATACATCATATTTTGTTGCATAGTATTTCGGCATACATTATATGACAATCATTCTGAGGCAACGGAGTGACTTGAACGCGCATTCTGGTGAATCCCAGACACCTGCCTCAACTGACTCAGCCATGATAGTATAAAAGTCAACTAAGCCAAAACTCTACTGAATTCAATAGGATGTTCTGAAGGCCCAAAACTGGAGCCTAAGTAGGGTTTTACCGCCGACCTGACCACACTCTGGCCTGCCACTAAATATATATAGTCACTTACATCATACATTCAGTCACTTGCACCAAGGTCATTGGCTGAGCTAAATAAATATCACAACTATTGTGGGCAACATCTAGTGAAGTAATGATAAGTTTGTACAGGACACATGTTCAGGCCCTGTCTATTATATAAACTGCACTCAGGATGCTCCTTCTTATAATTTTACTCTGTGCCTTTATTCCAGTAACTTTATTCCAGTTACCCTGTATAGACATCATATTTCATTTACTTTTTTATTTAAAACTTTAAACTTCTATTTTTAATTTGTTCTAGAGTACACTTTTATTCTGGCCCATTAAATGCAACATTATTTTAACTTGTCAATATAAAAATCTCAATAATTATATTCTATCATCTCACCTGTTTCATTATTATAGCATGTGAAATGAAGTGCACCGGAGAAAAGCTCCAGACCGATGATGGCGTAGATGATGATGACAAACATAACAAGGAGAGCAATGTTGAGCAGTGGGACCATAGCCTTCAGAATAGAGTTTAACACCACCTGGAGACCTGTAAAGAGATAGTAGTCAAAGGTATGCTGGTAATTATGGTAGTGATAAAGCATAACAAGGCTGTTTGTAATATTGATGTAAAGAAAAAATTTACATTAAAAATAATGTGTACTCTATATAAAGCTCTGAAGTGTAATACTATCCTGACCTCAAATATGTGCAAGAGGGCTGTAACAGAACCCATGGGTACCAAATGAGAAACAAATTGCTATGATATTCCAAGAAGGTATCTCAACAGAAACAGAAATGCCATGCAAATAAAGGGTCTTAAAATGTGAAAAGACCTCCCAATTAAGATAAAAAACCAACATTGAATGTAATGAAACCCCCCTTTTCTGGCTGAGCCCCGGAGGCTCCCTGGAGCTTATCAGGCTAATGTACATTATATTAGACCTGGACATTAGCTATGGAGTTCAGACCTACCAGGGGCCATGAGCCAGAGCCTGGCCCCTTCAGAGGTGTTTCAGGGAGCAATGGCCCTGGAAAACCCCCCTGTGGTTGGGGGTTTTCCTTATCTGCCATCGACCGGGGTTAGGCACCCAGAAAGGTAGGCATAACAAAACAAACCCCACATGGTAAGAAACAACAAAAACCGAACAGAGAGGTAGAACTCCCTACAATCCCAAAGAAACAAGCATATGTCACACACACTACTGCTGCGCCGCTCGTACGCTCAGCCCTCCCCTCCCGAGAGAGTGAGAGAGGGGGGCCCCAGACCTCACCGCGCCGGCTGCATAGCATTCCAGTTCGGAAGCTAAGCTTCAACAATGGCGAAAAAAATGCCGATCGGTGGGAGGGAGGGTTGCCAGGGAGCCTCGGGACTCACCCAGAAAATGGCGTTTCATTACATTACATTCAATGCTGGTTTTCTGAGGGGAGCCTCTATGGATCACTGGGGCTAAATACCCAAAGAGAAGGAAGAGAGAGGGCTGACCTGGGAGGAGGCTGCCACAAACTCCACAACGCGAAGTCGAGACAACAGGCCAAAGTCGAGACACCCTGCGACCCATAGCAACCCAAGAACGCCCAGGAGCAGACAGGCTCACAAAATAACGGGCGGTCAGGAACCTGTGTGACCAAATTCCCGCACTCGAATATGAGCCCAAGACACGATACCAAATATGGCAGCCAAAGCTGCAAACGGCCGAACGGCACGGGCGCGAAGATAAACGGCATGCTGGCTAGACTGAATAACCCAACAGACGACCTAGGAGACCCTAGCTCTGGCACGGGGAATGAGGGGAAACCAGATCAATCCAAAGCACATCCCCAGCCACCACAACCGAGGCACGCAGGTAACGGCAAGGAGCCGCAACCAGACACAACACATGATGCACCCCCGGCCGAACCAACCAAACACCAATAACCCAAGGACCCCTCCGGAAAGTAGCCGTCTCGGTCTTTGCCAGAATAGACGGAGAAGGCTGCAAACCGTACAGACATATCCCCAGTACCAAAAGAGCAGAAACCCCTAAGCCAGAGGAGAGCAGGAAGGTTCCCGACCCGACCCCCAGAGGCCAATGCCAACAAAAACAGGGCCTTGGGAAAACAATCTTGAACCAAAGAGGCCACCACAAACTGAGGAGAGGAAAGGAAAGATAAGAGAGCACCCTGACCAAGGACCAAGACGGCTCAGGCGGCGCATGAGCAGGCCGGAGTTGAAACAAAGCACGAGAAGCTTACGGAATGGGGCGGATGTGACTTCCACCCCGAGCGCAAGCTGGAGTTGCTCCACCAGCGCCACATGATACGAGGTAACAGTAATAAGCATCAAATGACGGTCCTGAAAAAAACAAGAAAGGACAAGACAACCCGATCCGAAAGAGAAGACAACCTACAACGAGCAAGAAATTGATGAAAAGAAACACCAGGAAATTTCATACGATCGCCGAGACAAAGCTTGCAGGTGGGACACCATCAACGAAGCCACCTGATCTCCATAGAGATGCTTCTTGAGGAAGAGACAAAGAAGCAATCCAAGAGTCCCAAAGAAGATCCAGCCAGGTCCGAACCCGGGACGGAACCAGATGAAAAGTCCTTCAGTTCACCAGGAACCCGAACCCGGCGATCAGGAAAGAACCATACCCCTGGCGAGCAGACAAGCGGACAGACTGGGAGCCCGCACCAGCCAGTCAGCGAGGTAGGCCAAAACCGAATCCCGAGCAGGCGCAGACAAGTCACCAAGATACGGTAAAGAGGCGTAAATACATTAAGTGCCAATTACAAACTAGGGAAGGCAACAAAAGCGGCAAGCCTGAAGCCCCACCACCAACTGTGCCAGTCCCGGAACCCTGGAGAGGAACGTGCCAAGAAGTGACCCGGAGGTCCAGGGACACCACCCCAGGCACCCGGTCCCAACAGAAGCCGAACCGGAGACAACTGTCATCCGAAGAGGGGCAAAGAATCCAGGACACATACTTAGCAAGTCCAGAAGAACTGCAGATCCGCAAAGTCCCGTGTTTGCATTGGAACAGGCGGGAACCCCGGAAGGATGGGGTGGATCAACCATCACCAAACGCACCCCACACCAAGATGACTTGAAAGGATCGGAGCCCCTACCGAAACTAAATTTTATATATATATATATATGCGGAAAATCCACAGAGAAATATGAAATGAGGTGAACGTTTCGGCTTTGTTAAAGTCTTTGTCAACACCAGACTGACAATCAGTCAGTCTGGTGTTGACAAAGGCTTTAACAAAGCCGAAACGTTCACCTCATTTATATTTCTCTGTGGATTTTCCGCATAAAATGATCAGTGTTTTGTGATCGTCAATTGCATATATATATATATATATATATATATATATATATATATATATATATATATATATATATATATATATATATATATATATATATATATATATATATATATATATATATATATATATATATATATATATGTATGTATATATATATATATATATATATGTATGTATGTATGTATATATATATATATATATATATGTATGTATATATATATATATATATATATATATATATATATATATATATATATATATATATATATATATATATATATATATATATATATATATATATATATATATATATATATATATATATAAGTGTATCATGGTCCCTGATAGGTCTGAACTCCATAGCTAATGTTCCAGTCTAATATAACATACATTAGCCCAATAAGCTTCAGGGAGCCATAGGGACTCCCCTCAGAAAAAACTGTATTACTTTCAACAATTTAAATGAGAAACTAAGAAATACATATTGAACATCATGTAATAAATTTAATTCTAAATAAATTAATTTATTGTTATTGTGAATATTGAATGTTATATCCTCCCTCCCCCTCCCACGAAGGAGGGAAGGGGGTTGCGCTAACGAGCAGAGGTACTAGTCACATGAAGGGTTGCTTCTTTGGTTTCTTTCTAGAGCAGTTATTTTGATCTTTCGGAATGTAGATGCACAGGTTAACCAGACAGTGATCTGTTTTGATTCGTCTAACTTTCTGGCTCCTTCCCTGGTTGATGGCAATTATGACATACTTTAAATGTAAAGCACTCATAGGCCACTGCTCCCTGTGCCTCTCTGAGGGGGGCCAGGTTCTAGCTCATGATCCCAGGTAGGCATAAGGACTCTTGTGACTGATGACCCCAAACTAATATAGCACATATCCATCGGATAGCTTCAGGGAGCCTCCAGGGCTTACCCAGAAAATGGTGTTTCATTACATTCAACATTTTTTTTTAACTTTTATTATTTTTCCAATGATAAAACTCAAATGATAATCAAATGTTCAAATGTTCATATAAAGCTTAAATGTTCTCACCCAAAAATATTAAATATTAATTTTAAAAACATCTAAAATAAGCTGGGGTTTACTCAGAATTTCATATCACTCAGGACTGGACTTTTAACCATTATAAAATCAAAAAGTTTACTTGATGATATACAGTGCAGGTATAAAAATATCTAGAGCACATGAAATCAAGCCTAGTTCTAGAATACTACTAGATTTTATTGTAGAAAATACCATAGCTGCTAAAGATTTCCTTAATTTTTGTTTAAATTTTACCAGCACCTTGGACAAAGAAAATAATCCCTTGAGGTTATAAGACTTACTTGGGACACCGGAGACAAGTCTGAGGGGACGCAGGACTCTGAAGGCTCTTAATGCCTTCACATCAAACCCTGCCTCCCCTCCTTCTCCCTGCATCAGGAAGTCCAATGCCCCACTCACCAATCTGCCAAAAGTCCAATGTTTTGTGGTTACTGATGTATGTAAAAGAATATAACCATAGTACAAACACTGATGTACTAAGCAATTAGACAGTAGAACTTTGTACACACTTTATAGAGTCCAAAAAATGAAGCTAAAAAACTTACCTAAATATTCCTAGGCCTAGTATAGCACATATATGTACTATATTATGCCTCAGATAATGTGTATTAGGCCTAGGAAAGTTAGGTTAGGTTAGTTTAGTTTGTCTTTGCAACATAAGTAGAAAATTGTTTTCCAGTTTGTCCAAATTCAATAGTATCGATTTCTACTTTCTATTTGCGTTGTACATCGGTATATGTGTAGTGCTATGGTCCTCATCCTTCCTATAAGTACTGTACTACCAAAACAGAAGGATGGACTGTATGTATAGAAGGATGGAGGGCATGTATCCATATTGCAGCACCAAATGCACCTCCGTGGCATTAATAACAATGTGAAAAATTACTACCTGTATAGCTATGCCAGATTCTGTGCCCTACTTGGTACTACTAAAATAATGCATATTTTGATGGAAAAATTACTTTTAATAATTTAAAATAAAACATTCTCAATGACAAAATAATTCTGCATGCAGAATGCATATGCAGTAGTAAATTTTAAACAGAAAATATTTTACCATATCATACAGCAACTTACCCTATGACAACAATGAGGAAATCTAAAGTGTTCCATACACTTCTTATATAAGCTCCTGGATGGAGGACAAACCCGTATGCTATGATCTTCATAAAGCACTCAAGAGTGAAGATCACCATGAAGATGATCTCAATTTGTTCCTGTCAAAAGAAAGATTTCCATTAACTTCACACCAATCTATTACATCCATCCAAAGACATCAGGTGGTACATACTGTACATGAACTTGGCAAGTACATTCATAGGCAATAGCTAGCACATAAACAGTTATTGGCTCAGACACCCATAGGCATCAGCTAGCACATACACTGTGCTAGCTGTGCATGAGCTGTGCGCACTGTTTGGAAGGGGAGTCCCTTTCCATTATAACATCAGGCAGTAAAGATTTTTCTGGAGTGCACTCTCTGGCACGTTTTGTCTGCCTACCACTAGGTCCTGGTTGTGGCTCACTGCTCGATTTTCTCACAACAAAACGATCCATTGAAGATTGTTTTTCCCTTCTTTGCAACACTTGTCGGTAGTAAGACATCACATTGTCATTTAAAAGATCAATGCAATGGCCTGCTACAGCTTTATCTGGGTGAGTTTTTCAACAAAACTTTGCAGTTCTTCCCATACTTCACACATTTTCTTAATGAGGAAGGGACATCCTCTACTACCTCTACTCACAACTATTTTCTTAGGTTGAGCCTTACCACTGGCTTTCTTGGGACCCATGGCGAGATATATAATAACAACTTTTATGCTCAAATGGCCAAAAATCCGACAAAAAACTGTAAATCCTTGTGAAGAATTCAGGTGGGCTAGTCACTGGGCGCAAGGCTCTGGTAAACTGAAGAGCGATCGCCGTGCCACCACGCACTAGGGCTGCCTGTACGCGTATCAACACCCATCATTTTCTGAGCCAATGCTCGTATTCCGATGTAAATTTTCCAAACAAATCCTGCTCGTAACCCAAAAAACTCGTAAACAGGAATGCTCGTAATCCGAGGTACAGTACCACTGTAATTAGATGTGCGTGTTAATTCCACATAACCTATCCCTAAGATTTCCACATTCTAAGAAGTTCTACACTAATCCTATATTCGCTAATTACAATTAATATTTCTTCCCAAGGGTACAGAATCAATTAAGCTAGTTGAGAAGTAACATGCTAAAGGTTGGTCGATTTGGTAAGTCAGGAGACGCTTATAATATAAGTCATCGAATCACGGATCATCCTCAGTTTAAATCCAATAGTGGTTCAGAGACAGAAGCTCTAGAGATACTGCAAATCTTCAACGCTATTGACATTCATCAGCATGCATCATAATACTCAAGTGACCGGCATGCCATCACACCATTGCTCACCAAGTTTCACCCTTAAATTTCTGTATACTACATTCATACAACTATATATATTTTACTAATGCCTGTGCTTATTGTCACCAGAACTGACATAATAAGGGCATTGATGACAGTGGCGGTAGCATGCATAGCCTCCATGAGAACTGTTGGCATGGAACAGACATAGTGGGCTTTATCAGTCATAATCTGATGGTGGTAAAAAATAGCCTCCATCTGTATGAACCATAATTCTGGCTCATTTGTGTTGTATTCTGAAAACCTGGTGGAGAAATCCAAGACAAAAGTTCTTCATCTTCGAATGCCGATGCCTGCAGGAAAATATCTCCATTGATCGCCTAAAACCAGCACACTGTAATGCTGTCCCAGATCTTCTCCCAGAAGCACATTCGCCAACAATATCATACACTTTTCAGCCACAGTTATCAGCAGCACCACTACCTGATCCTATGACAATGGACAATCCAGCACAACCCCCACTCCCACCCCACAACCCCAATTAGATGACAACAGCGAAGAAGTAAACTTCGACGATTATACTACATGAGCAGGGCGTACAATTCATCAACCAACCAGGTTCCTTAATCATGTATCTTTTCATCGCCTGGGAGGGGGAAGTACTGTAGCAATTAAATTAATAGTAACATAATTGCTTTCAATATAGTTGTTACAAGTCATATGAAAAAATATTCTAATCATGAATACAGTTAAATGTACTTACTAATTGTGCATTTGTGGCGTTGGAGTCTGAGTTTGGGTAGGGTGTGTAGACAGCCAACGCCACACAGTTGGCGAAGATGGTAAACAAGATGAACCATTCGAACGGTCTGGTAAAATCTGATTAAGGAAAACTGTACGTACTAGAAGAGATACTTATGAGTGAATAAAAAAAAAATGCATAATACCCTGTACAGTACTGTATACCCAATGATTTTTTAATTACTATAGTGTACTGTATTACACGGAAGTCTTTAGTGTATACAATAAAATTACACATCAATAGCAACCACATTAGCAATAATGTGGCAGCTACTTCACTTTCCAAGAAATTCTATGGCAAAAACTTAAAAGGTTCCCAATAATCCCATGTGCATTAATGACATCGGCACATGTTCCCAAGAAATTCCATATACTACAAATGATAATTTGCAACAGCTCCACTTACCACTGCAACATCATTCCATCAGGCATTCCACAAAATACTAACAACATCCAACAGAATCCAAGCAGTTTCCCATGAACCAAATTATGAGCAGCCTGGAGCTAGAAACAGAGTCAGGAGGACATGAATATAAGGCCACCAAATCACAGCAGCAATCAGTCTCACTCTACAGACAGTTAGGAACAATAACACTTCTGATATAAGTACTGTCTCCACTCAGTTATCTGGACTATATGGGAAGGACCCCCAGCCGGATAATCACATTTTCCGGATTAGAGTACTTTTTCATCTCTGAGTCCAAAAGTGACTATTTCCAACTATTTTTTATATTACAAACAACATACTGTACTTAGTTAACACACCATCATTATGCTCACTATTTCTACATCATCTCATGGTCACTCTTACCCCCACTGTCTCTCATGCTTGTGCTTACCCCACTATCTTTCATGCTCACTCTTTCCCTACCATCTTTCATACTTATTCTTTCCTTACTATATCTTATGCTTATTCACTATCTCTCATGACTACTCTTTCTTCAACTTCTCTCATGCTTGCTATTTCCTCACCAACCCTCATGCTCACTATTTCTTTAGCATCTCTCATGCTCACTTTAATCACAATCTCTCATACTAGCTTGTTCACCACCATCTCTCATGCTCGCTGTTTCCATATTGTCTCTCTTGCACAATCTTTTCCCACCATTTCATACTCACTGTTCCATAACATCCCATACTAAAATTAATCCACCATGTCTCAAGCTCCTCCCCCACCATCTCTCATACTCACTATCTCCTCACTGTCTCTCACTTTACAGATTCCCATTTCTCCACCATTTTCTCCCCAACCCTCACTCCTTTCCCTGTCACTGTTCCTATCACCAGATTGCATAGTAGTATACTCGGAAAATTTCCCCAGAGAAATGCGAGCTGCCTGGCAGCTATTGTCGGTCTCTATCCAGTCCTCCACTTTCCCTGATTCTCCTTTACTTTCTTTCTCTTGCTACCCTTCCTTCTTTAAAGTGTTTTAAAGTGAAGCCTGTGTACTATTCAGGTTACCTATTTGAGATACTGTATATATAATGTATATACTGTATACTGTTTCAACAAACTCGAGCACCGAGGGAAACTGAGTCTGCTATTCCTGAAGTTTCTCCATGTTCTTGTACTCAGTTGCTTCGCTCCCTTACATTCCTGATTGAACCATGGATTCATCTGTTGCTTTCCATTTTTCTGCTTTTGGGTCAGGATAAACCTGTCTGCAGCTTCCTGGCACTTCTGGGTACCAGCACTTCTTCTTTACTCTGAGTTCTGTTTCCCATGGTATTCACATTAGGAGGATCCTCAACTCATCATATTTTCCTCTTCGGTAATTTAGCCTTTTCCTTTCAGATCCCTTCCTTGAATATGTTATCCCTACCTCCACCAGATACTCAAATGTCAATATGCTGTGGTCACTCATTCCTATGGGGGGCTTTAAATTTTACTTCTTATTTTTTACTCATTTAAGGTGAATATCAGGTCGAGTCTAGCTGGTTCATCAATGCCTCTCATTCTTGTAGCTCCCTTGACTTGTTGGCTCAGAAGGTTTCTTGTTATGACATTAAAAAGAGTTTAGCTCTCCATGTATTTGGTCCTCCATGTGGTACCCGATTCTCCCAATCTATCTTTTCGTGGATGAAGTCGCCCATGATTAAGAGTCTAGATACATTTTTGCAGGCAACTGGAGCTGCTTTCTCTATTATATTAATGGTTGCCACGTTGTTTCTATCGAACTCCTGTCTGGGTCTTCTGTCATTTAATTGAGGGTTGTAAATGACTGCTACTATTATCTTAGGTCCACCAATTGTCATAGTTCCTGTTATGTAGTCCGTGAATCCTTCACAGCCCAGAATTTCCATCTCTTCAAAATTCCAGTCCTTCCTTATCAGCAGGGCCACTCCTCTTCCTCCTTTGCAGATGACACTAGGATCTTCATGAGAGTAGGCAACATAGAGGACACGGCAAACCTCCAGTCAGATATAGATCAGGTCTTTCTATGGGCTACAGAAAATAATATGGTGTTTAACGAAGATAAGTTCCAGCTCATGCGCTATGGAAAAAATGAAAATATAAAAACGGAAACCACGTACAAAACTCAGGCAAATCATAACATAGAACAAAAAGGCAATGTAAAGGATCTGGGTGTACTCATGTCGGAAGACCTTACCTTTAAAAAAACAATAAAGTAGCCGTCACAACTGCAAGAAAAATGACAGGTTGGATAACAAGAACTTTTCGCACTAGAGATGCTATACCGATGATGATACTTTTCAAAACGCTTGTGCTCTCTAGAGTGTAGTACTGCTGCACAATGACAGCCCCTTTCAAAGCTGGAGAAATTGCTGACCTGGAGAGCGTGCAGAGATCCTTTACTGCTAGAATCCACTCAGTAAAACATCTAAACTATTGGGACCGACTAAAGAGCCTAAAACTGTACTCCTTTGAGCGCAGGCGGGAGAGGTACATAATAATTTACACGTGGAAAATATTAGAGGGGCTGGTCCCAAACCTGCACACAGAAATAACATCACATGAGACCAGAAGACATGGCAGGATGGGCAGAATACCCCGTTGAAAAGCAGAGGTGCAACAGGTACTCTGAGAGAGAACTCTATCAACATCAGAGGCCTGAGACTGTTCAACACGCTTCCACTACACATAAGGGGCATAACTGGCTGACCCCTCACAGTGTTCAAGAGAGAACTGGATAAGCACCTCCAAAGGATACCTGATCAACCAGGATGTGACTCATACGTCAGGCTGCGAGCAGCCGCATCCAACAGCCTGGTTGATCAGTCCAGCAACCAGGAAGCCTGGTGGACGACCGGGCCACGGGGACGCTAAGCTCAGGAAGCACCTCAAGGTAACCTCAAGGTAAGGTAAGGTAACCTCCTCCTCCTCCTCTCCCTTCCCTCTCTTTCCTTACTATACAGTTGTCCTACCTAAACACTGCATTTATGATGCCTAACAATTTCATTTTTGTGAGTCCTATTACACCTAGGTTTTCTTTCTGCACCCTTTCAGCTAGTTCACTTGCTTTATTACTAATCCCATCGATGTTTGAGTACATTACCTTGAAGCTCACTTTCCTATATCCACTATCACACACTCCCCATTGGTACAGGAACCCGTTCCATGGGCAGGGCTACTTGGGTAGGCTCATCCTCCTGTGGGGTAGTTACCAGGGGTTTGGAGGGAGGTGGGGAAGGGGATTGAGGGCTTAGCTCTTACCTGGGCCGGCTTGAACAAAAAGAAATCCAGGGGGTGGGGAGCAGGGTGCTTTTTGGGGGAGAGGGCTCGTCCTCCTGAGGGGTAGTTATCAGCGGTATGGGAGGGAGGTGGGGTGGGGGATGGAGGGCTTAGATCTTGCCTGGGCCTGCTTAGAGCATGGAAGAGCAGTGGATGGGGAGGCAGGGGATGCTCAGGGTGAGGGGGAAAAGAGGATTTGGGTAGTATGGTGGTTGTGTAGGGGGGAAGGGAGAGTTTGGGCTAAGGGTGGGGGGCTCCTATGGGGTGGCAGGTGGAGATGTTGCAATTCCCTCTGGGGTTCCCTCTAGGGGTTCCTGAATTGCTAGTTTGGGGTTCCCCACTCCCCTCTGGGATTGTCAGGTTGGAGGCTGAGGTTCCATGCCTCCCTTCCCTCTTCCTGTGCCTTTTCCTTGTATCTGCTGCCTGCATTATCTCGTCCCTGATCATGTCCCTCTGAAAGAATACCTCTCTGTATTCTCTTTCATATTGCAGTGTGCTCTTCTTTGCTATAATGTCCTCTTTGATAGCCTCATTCCTAAATACTACCTTTAACAATCAGTTTTTGTCTTTGTAGTACTGGCCAAGCCAGAAAATCTTCTCTATGCATTGCTCAGCCCATTCCATTTGGATCTCTTTCAGGATCCCTGACACTGCAGCTTTGTCCTTAGCCCTCCACTCTTCCTGCATAGAACCTTCTTGTTCCCTAATACCTACCATGACTACAGCTCTTTTTCTTTCCATTACCTGACTCGTGCATCTTGCTGCCTCCCATGAAGTTACTGCTGTCATTGCAACTTCCTTGACTGTGGACATGGATTCTGGACTCTTCTTCAGCATTTCAGCAAACATAGCACTCATTGTAGAGGTCCTGCCATTGCTATATCACCTGCTACCTGGGGGATAGTTGCCTGGTCCTGAATCTGAGGAGGGCTTGATTTTATTTTTTTGTCTCCTCCTGTGCTGCACTTAGTTCCATTTGTAGTTTAATTATGGTTTCCCTCATGTCTACTAATTCCCCACTGATTTCCATCCATGTACGAGCGCTCATCTCCATGTATGACTCTCCTTGTCCCTCTCCTCCACCTGTGTTCTCTTGTCCTACCCTCATGCTTGATTTCTTTTTTTAGTACATAGAGTTAGTGTTAGACTTCAAGGATCAGAGATAGGAGGGATATAGAGAGAGAGCAGGATGCTAAGGGGGGATGCTAAGAGGGGAGAAAGAAGGAGAGAGCACTGAGTGGGGGAGAGAGAGAAAAAAAGAGGATGAGGCCAATCAGGGTTGTGGGGGGGGGGGAAGGAAAGAAGGGGCAATGTTGGAGGGTGAGGGAAAGAATTTGGTGTAGTGGATTTGTTGTATGTGGAGGGTGTGTGTGTT